TACCGTAATGAATCTGGGGCTCTCGTCACCTTGACGCAGTGCTCTGCAATTCATCCGTAAGTGACTCAAACATATAAAAAAGAAAAGAAAAGGCACAGCCTTATGTTAGACACCTAATAGATGGATTTTCCTGTTTCTATGTTCAATCGCCAGTGCAGCCATCATTTCTTTTGGTGTTCCTCAGCAATATATTTATAATTAAAGATCACTGGAGATTTATTATTATCAACACAAGTGAGTAGTGTGTGCACGTGTGACTTTCTTAACAGAATGAGGCCGGTCACAGTTGGAAACATAAATCAGGCAATGGGTTTTAGTTAGAGGAAAGTGATGAAAATTTTAGAAAAGGAAAAATAATTGAAAAAGCTTAACACACACGTTATCTCCAATGATTTAAAGAGGACCCTCCCCCCCAAAAAAAGGGAAATTTCAAACCCTTTCTACCTGTTGACTGAACTCTAAAGAAAAAGGACATCGCTTCCTTTTTTTTGTTTTTTGTTTTTTGACATTTGCAGCAGGTGGTGCTATAATCCTGCTGACTGGTATACGTGAATCTCCAGAGAAAGACCCCCCAGAAGACCACCAGCAGCTTGTGAGAGCACTTGTCTGCCCATCACCTCACCAACACAGCAGATGGTCGGACTGGGGAGTTTCTGCCAACGGGATGGGTAAGAAATTGTATCTCGGCATAATTTTAACTTGTTTTTCTCTTCTGAGTGAGGTGCAGTATCTCTTCATATTTAACGGTCATCTGCATTTATTCTGTGAGCTGTTCCTATATCTTCCCCATTTTTTCCTATCGTGTCATTATTTTCTTTTTGAGTTTTTGAATGTTAAAAGCTTTCAAGAAAATTAGGGATATTCACACTTTATGATATGTTACCAACATTTTTTTTCCCTCAGTTTGTCGGTTATCTTTTGATTTTTCCATATAGTATATTTTGTCATGCAAAAGTTTTCCGATTTTTTTGGTGTAGTCAATTTTATCAATATTTTCTCTATTGCTTCTAGTTCTTCTGGGCTCCACGTCTCCCCCTGCCCCCCCGCCCTTACATGTAGCTCTCTGACCCATTTGAAGCATACCCTAGTGTTGGCCATGCCACTTATTAAAAGTCTACCCTTTCCCCAGTGACGGGATATACTGCCTTATTTTATATAAGATTCCCATATGCACTTGGTCACATATCTGGATATTCTGTTTTGTTTTCTTCATTGGCCTATTTAGTGATTCACCTGTTTTTTGGTTGATGCTTGAGTAGTCCAACTGAACAGACTGCATTCCTATAAACTATTAGTCCCATTTATGAACAGGAAGCTCACATCACACGAAGAGCAGGAAGTTTGCAGACGGCTATAGCTTACAGACATTTGGATAGGCAGGCTTTCAAACACCCCCCTCCGGAGCCCTGTTACTTATGGGGACGGTGACCTCAGAGCATGATGTGCATAGGACGTGTTTAGCACCAGGAAGTCTCACTGAATGAACTCTTAATTCTCCAGGTACTTGTATGAACACAGCTTATAATGTCTCTAGGTTTCCCGTTAATAGCACTGTGACTTAACACCTAGAGTTTTAAAAAGATTTTGTTAGGGGGCACCTTGGTGGCTCAGTTGGTTAAGCGTCCAACTTCGTTACAGGTCGTGATCTCCTGGTGTGTGAGTTCAAGCCCTGCGTAGGTGAGTTCGAGCCCTGCATCGGGCTCTGTGCTGACACCTCAGAGTCTGGAGGCTGCTTCGGATTCTGTCTCTCTCTCTCTCTCTCTCTCTCAAAAATAAATAAGAATTAAAAAAATTTTAAGATTGCTTTAGGGGTGCCTGGGTGGCTCAGTTGGCTCAGTTGGTTAAGTGTCTGACTCTTAATTTTGGCTCAGGTCATGATCTTGAGTTTGTAAGATCTACCTTAGATCTTGAGTTTGTAAGGTCAGGCTCCACACTAAGCATGGGGCATACTTGGGATTCTCTGTCTCTCTCTCACTGCCCCTCCCCTGCTCACATGCCTGCTCTCTATCAAAATAAATAAATAAACAAACATTTAAAAAGATTTTTAAGGGGCGCCTGGGTGGCTCAGTCGGTTGAGCGACCAACATTAGTTCAGGTAATGATCTCACTATTCGTGAGTTCAAGCCCAGCATCGGGTTCCATGCTGAGAGCTCAGAGCCTGAAGCCTGCTTCTAGATTCTGTGTCTCCTCCTCTCTCTGCCCCTCTCTCTGTCTCTCTATAATAAATAAATGTAAAAAAATAAAAATTTAAAAAATAAAAAGATTTTTAAGATTAAATCAAAGTTTTTTATTTTCTATTTTCTATAACCACAGAATTAATGAATAATTTCCATGTGGCCTAAAACATGACCACAGGTATTGTACCCCCTAAAAAGTGAGTATATGCTATTTTCATAGCCCTCGCTCTCTATTTATATATAATATTTGGATTATTAGTAATGATTATTTAAATTTTCTATATCCTTATATTTTGTTAGTTCATCTGTAATTTCCCAAATTAAAATATTCTACAATGATGGGTCTAGCGCTTTAATATTATAAACTGAGAAACATTTTGGAGGTGCGTGGTGATGATGGCCACACAACATTGTGAATGTGATTAATGCCGCTAAAACAGTACACCTGAAAGTAGTTAAGAGGGTAAAGTTTATGTCATGTGTGTTTTACCACAATAAAAAAAGAAAACTTTCATTATGATTATGATTTTATCCATTTCTGTTTATTCAAATCTTACAGCCAGGATATGAATGGGAAAAAGCAGTTGCAGAAGCAAAAGTATGACACCACTGACGTAAAGTTTTAATTCATGCAAAACACGCTATCTATTTTTCAAGGAGCAAAAGACTTACGTATATGCAGCAAAAGGCGTGCATATGAATGGGATAGATTTTCCTTTAAAAGGAAAAAAAACCCTTTTTTCATGCACAAGGTACTTACAATTTAAGCCCAGGTGCACAGTACCTTACTGCGAGAGGCAGAATCATCCTCACTCAGAGGTTGGCTCCTGGACCAATCAGCCGTGGATCAGGGGCTGCTGCTTCTGGTCCACACAGCTGGGGTCTGTTGACTCACCTGTAGCCTGTGGTCCGGCCCCGCCCCAGGTCGGGGCTCATCTGGGGGAAAGTATTTAAGCACAGGAGCCTGCCCTTGCTAGGACTTCCAAACTCTTGGTCTCAGCAGCTCAGATAACAGCGAACGTGGACTTCAAGCTGCTGGCAGTGAGATTCCTGCCTTCGGGGGAGACTGCAGGCGGTAAGCTCTGGCCCAGGGTCTGGAAGAAGGGCTTTCCCCCCGCCTCCCTGGGGCCACAAGGTCTTGGCTATTCCTTAAAACCAAGACGTTTTATGTGTATCTCCAGGTTCCTGGCTTTTCTTGGACAAGTACGAAGCTCTGGCAGGGGTCATCCGCAGCAGCTCCCGGCGCTCAGCCCCCTTCCCCTCCCCTGTCAGCTGTGGCCAGGAAGGTAACTTTTCCTCCCTATTTGTGTCCTTTTCCTTATTCTTCCCCTACCTCTTACCACCACCATCACCGCTCAACGCGTGAGAGGCTGCTTTTCCCCTCAGGGCTTCCAATCACGGAGGTCTGAGGCTGAGGCCAGAGCCTGACCGCTTGTTCTGGGCTCCGTACACCCCCAGCTGTCCTGGCCCAGGGGGTGTTGCTTTACGAATAACCAAGAACGCCCGAGGAAAGCTGCTTCTGACCACAGAAGGAAGATCTGAGTTGGCCTGAGAATTGGAAGCGAATAGTAAGAGCACTGTGTGGTGGTGAGTGAGTGACCCTGACCTACCTGCTTCTGTTGCGCCCTGATGCTGAGTGTAGCGTCACAGCAGAAGCCCCAGACCAGCTTTATGGGGTGGGGGAGGGGCAGAGAACGAAGGTGACTCGCATGGAACTTCGGATTATGATCGGAGGCTGGGAGAGGGCCTCCAGCTGGGCCACCGCAGCAGAGGGGGGTGGTGGTGGGACTGGGGGGGGGCAGAGGGAGGGGAGGTGAGAGAAACCCCAGGTGCCCCCTTCCTCCCCCGCAGTCCTCTGGGCTCCTGAGTGTTGTAGATGAGCAGGGGACCATTCCTTGCTGCTTTGACCTTCTTTCCCAGAGACCAACCCTCTCAGAAAGAGGAGCGGGGTGCCCGCAGTGGCCCCCTTGTTAGGAAGAGCAGCTGAGAAGAGACCAGGAAAGTGGAGGGGAGAGGACATGGGGCTGGAAGGCCATTGGCACCAAGGGCAGCAGGGACAGGCTGGGTGAGCAGAGCCAGCAGGGGCCGGATGCCTCTGAAAGTCAAAGTCAGCACGAGCCAGCGGGCACTGATGGCTGTCCCTGCCTCTTCTCCAAAGCGAGAACAATCCCCCTTAGGAATACTCTTAAGAGTGAAAAACGGAGATAAGGGAGAAATCCTGAAAGCATGGGTACTTATCCAAAACAGACTCAATCTCCTAGAAAGTGTCCATCTGTTTTAAATCAGACTTTCTGCTGGAGGCAGAAATTGTAGCTTCAGAAGAAAACTACAGAAAAACGATTCCCCTCTTTAAGCCTAACAGGGGATACTCTGCACCGGGGGCTCCTGGGGGGCTCGGTTGGTTGAGCATCCGACTTCGGCTCAAGTGGTGATCTCCCCAGCTCCTCCGTGTAGAGGCTGCTTCCGATCCTCTGTACCCCCTCCCCCTACTCCTCTCCTGTTCTCTCTCAAATAATTCTAAAAAGCTTAATATACTAAAACTCCATGCACCTGTACTGTGTCCGAATGAGGGATTTCTGTGCCTTAAACCGAGCTCATCTGAGGGTAGACTTACAATCCCTTCTTGCAAGGTTTCTCTTCCTCGGCAGTACTGATACTTGGGTCTGGGTAATTCTTAACTGGGAGAGGGGGGTGTTGGGGGGGGCTATCTTACGCATTTGGGAAGTTCAGCAACCTCTGGCCTCCACCCACTAGAGGTCAGTATCATCCCCTTCCTAGTTGAAATAACCAAAAATATTTGTCAAAAGTCCCCTGGGGGCAGAGATCCCTCATCACGGAGAACCCCTTTGCTAAGGCGCCCTTTTCTCCCATTCCTAGGGTCCCGGGGGCACAGAGGAAAACCCCTGGAGCGGACTCTGGAGGCATGGCTGGTAAACAACTACAGGCGCTTCCAGTTCACCAGGTGCGCGAAGACTCCCAGGGGAGGCATGGGAGGCTTAACTAAACACGACCTGCTTTGCCTGCAAGCCCGGAGGGAAAAGGCAGGAGGAAACCCAGGAATCTGCATGACCCGCAGCATTAAAAGACCGCAGGATGAAAGACGTGTAAGTGAGAATATAAAGCATGACTGGACGCAGAGGTCGGGCACTTAGCAAGTTTCACCTGTTCACTTCCGGGGGTGGGTTTTTTAAGTTAACTTTGAGAGCACAGGTATGGGGGGCGGGTAGAGAGGAGGAAAGACAGAATCCAAGTAGGCTCCACGCTCCGCCCAGAGCCAGCTTGGGATCCTTTCTCCCTCTCTCTGTCCCTCCTCTGCTTGCACAAGTACTCTCACGCGCATGCTCACAGCGCTCTGGCAGTACTTTATTTACTTCTTACAAAAACACAGCTACTTTGCTCCTTCACTCCTAATTGACTTAATTCAAGTATTCCCTAGGGCAACCTTAATCCTTTGACAGCTTCTCAAGAAAAACGAGTGCAGCACAGGCCTGAGCCTAGGCAGCAATTAAAACTCCGAGTTCTTTGTATTCCCCAGTCTCTCTCTTCGAGCCAAGATCCCAGGACCTTGCGGCGCCTTCTCTCCCCAAACCAGCAGACTTTCCTGACAGACCCCAGACTCCGAAGGCCTCGAACCTGGGTTTTGAGGAAACGAATACTAATGGGGCCCAGCCCCGCGAAGACCGTTAAAAAGTAATCTTCACGTGGAGGGGATGGGAAGAGAACACTCCCGTCAGGACAAGGTGGGTCCCTCGGTTCCTCCCCCAGTAGACCACCCCCTGGGGAAGGGGAAGGGGGATCACCTGTGTGATGGACGTTTGCTTCCACAGGTTCCACGCACAGCACTGAGCAAGTCAAGGGATCCCATCAATCAAAAAATTTTCCTCTACAAGGAGGAGGCAGTGTTCTCAGAACCACAGCAAAAAGCTGGTGGAGAACAAAATGGGCTCTGGATCTCCGCCAGACCCAGGCTGAGGGCTGGTGCTGGAGGATCTGGCAAGATGTGGGAGAACCGTAGGAACTGGTACGCACTGGTGCCTTTTGTGTGGAGATCCTTAATCTTGCTGGAATATTCCATTAAGTCCCTGATAATGCAGCTGGCTTCTCCCTGAATCTTAATGTTCTTTTGATGGGTGGCTGAAATCCGACCTCTTGTTGAAATAAGCCTCTTTAGTGGGGTTTCCAGAGACCAGGGTTCCTCAGGTGTGACAACGGCTCTGTGCATAGCATCAACTGAAGCCTGCTGCACGTTGCTGCTGGGGGCCTGGGGGAAACAAAGGGACTCGGGCAACTGTAAAGCTCCTGCCGTCCCCAGGAAGCGTGTAGAATGTGGCAGGTCTCCTCCTTAGCTTGCAAGTGAGCTACAGTCTCCGACTCCATGGTTCTTGATGACTTTATAATGAGCGTGGGATGCTGAAAACGTGGCTTTCTGGGAAGGAAAGGACCGACCCTTTGCAGGCTGGGTTAGGGGATGGGAGAGGCAAACCCCTGGGATCTGGTAGCAAGTGCTCTTGCCCAAGTGGGGGTGTGTTAAGAGTCTCCCTCTGTCCTACCTGTGAAGGAGCCTGACTGGGCTAGGTGGGATTGAAACCTGAAGCCCAAATAGTGCTTCTGCTGGCTGCTCACTCCTGCACTGCGAGGTGCTACGAGCAGCTGCTGGACTGCTGGGAACCATACGTGGGCCTTGCTTCCTGTACACAGCTGCTCTTGCAGTCATTCCTGTATCCCTCCCACCAGCCACTTTGAAGAAAAAGCCAAGTATGTTAGGGAACATTGGGTGGGGACAGGGTGGTGGCTCTGTTGGCCACAGGCACCGAAGTCTCCATCCTACTTGGTCATGGGCAAGAAGGGATGCCTGGATTGGGTTCAAGGTCAAGGGGGAGAGAAACCTGTGTGATCTTGTGTGGGGGGTCCTTTGGACCGACTCCGTAGGCTTTCCTTGTTGTGTCTACATCTGACTGTAGGAGTTTTTTTAAAATTTATTCCATCTTCTAAGTGTACTACATAATTCTCATCTGACCCATCCCCCCACCCCCCCCACCCCCCCCTCTGCTAACCATCAGTTCTTAATGAAGAGTCTCTTTTCCTTTGCTCACTCGTTTCATAAATCCCCCATGAATGAGATCTGGTGTTTCTGACTTCCCTTTCTTCTCATGTACTCCGTAGCTCTATCCATGTTGTAAAAGGCAAGATTTCTTTATGGCTGAATAATCACATATTCATATATATACACGATGCATGTGTGTATCCCATCTTTACCCATTCATCTATCGATGGACACTTGGACAGCTTCCATATCTTGGCTATTGTAAATAATGCAATAAACACTGGAGTGCATGTATCCCTTTGAATTCGTGTGTTCGTATTCTTTGGGTAAATACTCAGTAGTGCAATTACTAGATGCTAAGGTAATTCAATTTTTAACTTCTTGAAGCTCCATACACTTTCCTAGAGTGGTTATACCAGTTTGTATTCCCACCAAGAGTACACGATGGTACCTTTGTCTCCACATCCTTGCTAAGTTTTGTTTTGGGTTCCCCTCCCCTCCCCCCCCCCGCCCGCCTTTGGTCATTAGGATAGGAGGGGTGATATCTCCTAGTTCTGACTTGCATTTTCCAGACGATGAGCGATCTTGAATGTTTTCATGTGTCAGCCATCTGTATGTCGTCTTTGGAGAAGTGTCTGACCTCTGCCCGTTTTTCAAATTTGACTATTTCTTGGGTGTTGTGCTGTAGCTGTTCTTTATATTTTTTGATACTAACCCTTTATGGACATGTCCTCTGTAAATGTCTTCTCCCATTCCTTCACTGTGCAGGAACTTTTTATTTTGGCGTAGTCCCAATAGTTTTCTTTTGTTTTCATTGCCTCAGGAGGCAGATCTGGAAAAAACGTTGCTGTAGCTGATGTCAAATTACTGTCTGTGCTCCTAAAGGATTTTTGTGGCTTTAGGTCTTTAATTCACTTTTGAGTTTTTGTGTATGGTGAAAGTGTTCAGTTTCATTCTTGTAGCTGTCAATTTTCCCAGCACCATTTGTTGACTTCGCCAGTGTATGTTCATAACTTATTAAATATTAATGAACCACATAACTGTGGGTTTATTTCTGGGTTTTCTGTTCTATTCCATTGACCTATGTGTCTATTTTTGTGCCAGTTCCATACTGTTCTAATTAGTACTGCTTAATAATATAGAACTTAATCTAGAATTGTGACTCCTCCCAGTATGTTTTTTTCCAAGATTGGCTATTTGAAGGCTTTCAAGGTTCCATGTAACTTTTAGGGTGGGTCTAGTTTTGTGGAAAAAATGCTGTTGGTATTTTTGACTGCTTTAAATCTGCAGATTGCTTTGGATAGTACAGAAATCTTAATATTCTTCCAACTCATGAGCATGGAATGTCTTTCTGATTCTTTCCATCTTGAATTTTCTTTCATTGCCGTTAGCTTTTGGAGTACAGGTCTTTCACTGCTAAGTTTATTCTTAGATATCTTCAGTCTTTTGGTGCAGTTGTGAATGGGATGCTTTTATTAAGCTTTTTTTAACGTTCGTTTTTGAGAGTATGAGCAGGTGAGGGGCAGAGAGAGGGAGACAGAATCTGAAGCAGGCTCTAGGCTCTGAGCTGTCAAAACAGAGCCCAATGCAGGGCTCAAACTCCCAAACTGAGATCATGACCGGAGCTGAAGTTGGATGCTTAACTGAGCCACTGAGGCATCCCATGAATGGGACTGTTTGCTTAATTTCATTATCTGCTGCTTCATCATTAGTGGATGGGAATGCAAAAGATTTCTGTATGCTGATTCTTAAAAATTTTAAGTAAACTATCTCCAACATAGGGCTCAAATTCACCACCCCAAGATCAAGAGTTGCATGCACTACTTGGCCAGCCAGGTGCCCCTGTATACTAGTTTTATATCCTGTGACTTTATAGAATATGATAATCAGTTCTAGTAGTATTTTGGTGGAGTTTTTAGGGTTTTCTACATAGTACATCATCTACAACTAGTTTTATTTCTTCCTTGCTAATTTGGGTGCCTTTTATTTAGGTTGTCTGATTGCTGTGGCTAGGACTTCAGCACTATGTTGAATAAGAGTGGACATCCTGGTCTTGTTCCTGACCTTGGAGGAAAAGCTGCTTTTCATTATGGAGTATGTCCACTGTGGGTTTTTTTATACACGGCCTTCATTATGTTGAAGTAGGATTTCTCTAAACTTCGCAGAGTTCTTAACATGAATGCACGTTATATTTTGTCAAATGCTTTTTCTGCATCTGTTGAAAGATCACGTGGTTTTTATGCTTTCTTATTGATGTGACATAACACGTTAATATGTGAAAATTGAACCAGTTTTACATCCCAGGAGTAAACTCCACTGATCATGTTGTAGGATTTTTATTTTTAATGTTGGACTTGGTTTGCTTAAATTGAAGATTTTTGTATCTATATTTGTGAGATATTGGCCTGTAGTTCTTCCCTCCCCCACCCCTACTTGTTTCGGTGTAGGTGTACCCTACTTGTTCAGGTGTAGGTGTAAGGTTAGGTCACAATTTTTCTTGAGGTAGGCCTGTATTGCTATAAATTTCCCTCTTAGAACCACTTTTGCTGCATCCTATAGGAATTGTTATAGGCTTACCTTTACCCACCCCAGAGGGGATTAGCCTGTTAGAAGAGCTCTATATAGAGAAGGGCTAGTAGGACTAACTCCACTGCCATTTACCGCCAGTAGGAGAGTCAGAATTCAGCATGGGAGCCTCTACCCTCTGATGTCCAAAGTTCTCACTACATAGATGTCTTGTTCGTTGGCAGCCAGAAGCCGGTCTCCATTTCTGCCAGTGGAGGTGGTTGTGACAACTATGAAAATCTAGGGGGCTGGATGTCAAGTACAATTTCTTCTGTCTATATAGGTAGGTTCAGGGTGTTCAATCTCTCTGGCACTCAAGGGGGAGAAAGTGCTATCTTTGCCTTGACTCCTACCTTCTATCCCCACAAAAAGGAACCCTCCTACCTTAGATTCTTTAAGCATTTGAGACAGAAGTTTGACTCTGCAGATAGGAGGCTTTAACAAAGGGAGACAGATTTTACCTAGAGTTGCCCTTGGGGTTTTGAACTTGTAGCCATATCAGAGGGGCCACCAAGTAAACTCCTTTTGGAAAGCTGCTCTTAGTTTGCTGAGCTCTCAGTGAGTCAGAACAATTGATCTCTGAAGGCCCTGTGATGCTCAGTTCCCAAAATACCATTTGGGGGTTGGTCAGCTTGGACTCCAGGACTAACGGGGGGGGGGGGGGGGGGGAGAAAAACCCAAAAAGCCTTGTCAAGAAATGACCTGATCTAATTCAAGAACACAGCTGTCCAGACCCCAACAGCTCCATCTGGTCTTTACTTGGGGGGAAAAGCACACAATCCCTTATGGAAACTTCACTTCCCACACCCCCTTCTTCCCTGTCTGGAGCCAAAGACCCTGGCCCAGTGGTGCCACCTTCTTCCACCTTCATATGCTGGCTAATGAGGTTTTGGGGAAGTTGAAACCTGGTAGTGGTGTCCACTGAGCTGGTAGAGCTGTTCACTCAGAGCCAGACCTGCAGACTAGAAGTGGATGTAGTCATCCCATTTATTGGGCAGAATTCAGACTCCTGGACTGTTGCCGATGGCCTAACTTGTTTTTGGCAGTCTGTACTTCCCCAAGTGGAACCATCAAAAATGCTAGGCTTGCTGATGGAACTGTCTGGGTCACTCAGATAGATGCCTGAGGCATAAGCCATTTCTGGGACCTACTGGGATCAACAGATCGAACCTAACTCTGCTCTTAATGCAGAGGCTACTAGTTGAGCCATAAGTTGACCTGCCTGTCCCAGAGTGGGGATGGCAATATCCTAAGGGAGGTTTCTCCTTCCCCTGCTTTACAGATAGATTTCAGCAGCTCTTTGACTACCCCCACCCTCACCCCCACCCCCACCTGTGGCAGTCAGGGCCTGTCTGCCCTGACTTGTCTATCAGCCTCTTCACTGAAGGGGATGCCTAGGGGATTCCAACTTTAATCTCAAGTTTAATAAAAAGGTCTGTTTTTCACCTGATTCTTCCAGATGAAAAGTTTGAGTATGAGTAAGGGATGACTGGATAAAAAGTGGTTATAGACACTGGCATGGGACAGAATTGGGGGGTGGGGGGCAACGAAGCAGCAGCTCAGGGGTGTGGTGGGGAGGAAGGGCATTAATGACCTCTTTCAGAACTTCCCTCAGATGTGCTGTAGGGAAGCCCCTGGTATATCTCTCCCAAAGGGGTGAAAGAAATTTACCTGCTGAGTGTGCCTCCTCAGTCAGACTGCTCTGACCATTCTGTGAAGTAGATGTGACCCAGCTAGTGCTGGGACAAACTAAAGTGTCTTCAGACCTTCCAAATGGTTGAGCCGGAGACTCAAAGGCTTACCAGTTGGCTGGGAGGCCATGTTGGAGCTACTGTCAGCCTGTGCTTTCTGCAGAATGTAGACCCCAGTTCAGAGGACCTCCCCAAACTAAACTTTCCAAGGACACTATATTCTCTTGAATTGTATGGCTTATGTGGAAGCTAATATCAGCTTTCTCTCTCCTAAAACAGTGGCTTATCCCTAAAGAAGTCACCCAGAAGTGTTTCAAGAAACCACACCTCGGTCCTAGTGGGCACCCAGGTCAGCCTTCATTCTCTGGCCTGGGTTGTTACCCAACCCAGAATTACCATAGATTTCCCCATTGGGGGCCAAGATAAATGTGCAGTTCTTACATCCTGTTCCTTATGGATTAATGCTTTAGTTGATACAGAAACCTAAGGAAAGAGCCACTTTGACTAGGTGGATACTACTGGCTTCATGGGCTTGGTTCAGCTGGAACCCTGGGGGTATAGCTGAGAACAATACTGCAGATTCTGATTTTGTCGCTTACAGTACAGATAGAATGGATCTGGTCTTGGCTCCTGTTGGCTTAATTATGCCAGTCAGTGAACCATTATGATTTCTCATAGGAAAACCTGTCAGAAGTCAAGATAATATAGAAATGAGGGATGGATATTGTTTGGGGAGGGGAGTAGACAGTCCTCAACAGCATTTCTGTATGTGTTGTGACCACTTCTGGATTGTCTTTTCACGTGCCTTGGTGACCAAGAGACTGGGAAGACCAGGGTAAATGGCATGTTAGTTTCCTGACCACCAGTAACTGATAATGGCTCACCATTGCCACATGGATGTCCAATAGGCATCTCAACATTTCTACATGTGAACTCCTGGTCTCTTAAACTTGTAACTCCTGTAATTTTCTTTTGACTAACATCAACTCCACTTTTCCTGTTGCTTGGGCAAAAACCTAAGAGGTCATTCTTTTTCTCTTCGTAAATGTCCCATCCATCAGGAATTCCTATTGGCTGTCTTTCAAAATACATCCAGAAACATGCTACTCCTTACTGCCTCTACTACCCTCTCCCTAGTGCCAGTCTGGACCATCTCCTCTCGGCTTGCCTCAGGGGTGGTGCTGTAGGGTATTTCGGATCCATCGCACTAGATGTTCCTTTTGGCCCTGGCTGGAGCCTTTCCAGAGTGCTGCATGGAAGATCTCGATTCTTCTTGGCTTTGTCTTCCCTAGCTGATGCTGCATTCCCACTTTACTCTGGTTTGCTAACACAGCCTTTGATGTTCTGCTTTCCAACTCCCAAATCTATCTCCATTCTTCTCTATTACCACCTCTTCTTTGGTTTTTAAGGGATTCTGCCTCCACTTTTCCCTCCTTAAACATCTAAGTTCACTGTAGTGGAGTTTCAGGAGGGAACACAGGCAATCCTATGCCTAAGTTACCATGTTTAAATGGGAGTCCTAGCAGTAATCTTGTAAATAGAAGCAGCCTTCTGGGCCACACAGTTAATTGTGCTATTCTCTTAACACATTCTCCAAACATCTTACAGATGTATTCATAAACCATGCCTTGAAGCAGTAAGAATGTTGCTGGAAATTTAATCTTAAAACTAATGTTAAATACATCTAGAGAGTGTTCTGAGAAGGTTGAAGCATCTTGAAGATGGAGACTAAGGTTTCTAATGGAGGTAATGTCTAAGGGTCATCTGGATATAGAGCTCTACCAGTATATCTGTGCTTTATTTGTACCTATCTGTTCTGATAACATGGTTCTCCTAACAATGTGCTTTTATTCTACAAATCTTAGTGCATATTACATGTGCCATATTCTTGGTGTTCACTAGGACTTCCTACTGCATGTGGTATACCAGAGCTACATGAACAAAACCGGGTTTTTCTTCCCCCGGAATTCCACTTGAATCAAGTTCCTGAGCTGCCCAGGCGCCCCTCTTTTCTCATTTACATCCAAGTTAGCATATAGTGCAATAATGATTTCAGGAGTAGATTCCAGTGATTCATCCCCTATGTAGAACACCCAGTGCTCGTTCCAACAGGTGTCTTCCTTAATGCCCCTTACCCCTATAGCCCATCCCCCCACCCACAGCCCCTCTAGCAACCCTGTTTGTTCTCTGTATTTCAGAGTCTCTTATGTTTTGTCCCGCTCCTTGTTTTTATATTGTTTTTGCTTCCCCTCCCTCATGTTCATCTCTCTTGTATCTTAAATTCCACATATGAGTGAAGTCCTATGATATTTGTCTGACTAATTTCACTTAGCATAATATTGTCTAGTTCCATCCATGTAGTTTGCAAGTGGCAAGATTTCGTTCTTCTTGACTGTCAAGTAATACTCTCTTGTGTATATATAAACCACATCTTCTTTATCCATTTATTAGTTGATGGACATTTGGGCTCTTTCCGTACTTTGGCTATTGTTGATAGTGCTGCTATAAACATTGAGGTGCATGTGCCCCTATGAATCAGCACTCCTGTATCCTTTAGATAAATTCCTAGTAGTGCTATTTCTGGGTCGTAGGGTAATTCTACTCTTAATTTTTTGAGGAACCACTACACTGTTTTCCAGAGTGGCTGCACCAGTTTGCATTCCCACCAGTAGTGCAAGAGGGGTCCCATTTCTCCACATCCTCGCCAACACCTGTTGTTGCCTGAGTTGTTCATTTTAGCCACTCTGACCAGTGTGAGGTGGGATCTCAATGTGGGTTTGATTTGTATTTCCCTGATGGTGAGTAACGCTGAGCATCTTTTCATGTGTCTGTTGGCCATCTGGATGTCTTGTTGGGAAAAATGTCTATTCATGTCTTCTGCCCATTTCTTCACTGGATTGTTTTTTTTGGTGTTGAGTTTGGTAAACTTTATCTGATATGTCATTGGCAAATATCTTCTCCCATTCTGTCGGTTGCCTTTTGTTTTCCTGATTGTTTCATTTGCTGTGCAGAAGCTTTTTATCTTGATGAGGTCCCAATAGTTCATTTTTGCTTTTATTTTCCTTGCCTTTGGAGACCTGTGGAATAAGTTGCTGCAGCCAAGATCAAAGAGGTTGTTACCTGTTTTCTCTAGGGTTTTAGTGGTTTCCTGTCTCACATTTAGGTCTTTCATCCATTTTGAGCTTATTTTTGTGTGGTGTAAGAGAGTGGTCCAGTTTCATTCTCCTTCATTTTGCTGTCCAGTTCTCCCAGCACAATTTGCTAAAAGGACCTTCTTTTTTCCATTGGATATTCTTTCCTGCAGTCAAGAATATTTAAAGGCAAAGGGAAAAAAAAAGGTCGGGGTAATAAGTTGCATAGGTGCTTAGTACACCCATTACCCTTTTGGTTACGGGTTTAATTTCCATATAGGTACTTAATATGCTTTCCTTGGATTCTGGGGAATGAGGGGAAGTTTGGGGTTCTGTGTAACACATTGTAATTTTTCCTACTTAGAGTACCAAGTGGGGGTATCTGGGTGGCCCAGTTGGTTAAGGATCTGCCTTCAGCTCAGGTCATAATCTCACAGTTTGTGAGCCTGAGCCCTGCATCAGGTTCTGTGCTGACAGCTCAGAGCCTGGAGCCTGCTTTGGATTCTGTGTCTCCCTCTCTCTCTCTCTGCCCTTTCCCCACTAGCATTCATTTCTCCCTCTCCCCCCTCCCCCTCTCCCCTGTCCCCCTCCCTCTCTCTCTCCCTCTTCTGCTGATGGAAACATAAAATGATGCAGCCACTCTAGAGTTTTTAAAAGAAATTGACAAACTTAAATACATACCTAGTATATGGCCCAGCTATTCTGCTCCCAGGTATGACCCAGAAGAAGCATGTCCATAAATAGACTCATACATGAATGTTCATCGTGCTTTATAATAGCCAAGTGTCCACTAAGATGAATGTATAAAAAAATGTTAGTATATTGTAAAACAGGACACTACTCAGCAATATAAAAGAACAGACTACTGACGAGCACAAAATGAACCTCCAAATAATTATGCCAGCTGAAATTAGCCAGAACAACAACAAAAGCATACATACTAGTGACAGCACTGACATAGATATCTAGAAAACGCAAAAAAAAAAAAAAAAAAAAAAAAATAACTAATTCAGGCTTGACAGAAATATGGAGAATGAAGGTAGCCATATTAGGCTGTGGGAATCTGGCGGCTTGGGTAACCGTCGTCTGCGCTGCTNATATTGTAAAACAGGACACTACTCAGCAATATAAAAGAACAGACTACTGACGAGCACAAAATGAACCTCCAAATAATTATGCCAGCTGAAATTAGAAAAAAAAAAAACAAAAGCATACATAAAAAAAAAAAAAAAAAAAAAAAAAAAAAAAAAAAACAAAAAAAAAAAAAAAAAAGTGTGCATAACTAATTCAGGCTTGACAGAAATATGGAGAATGAAGGTAGCCATATTAGGCTGTGGGAATCTGGCGGCTTGGGTAACCGTCGTCTGCGCTGCTGACTGGGCCTTATTTCCCGGGCCAGGCTCTCCTGAACGATCTGGCACTCCAGCTCTCAGCCTGTCTTTATTGATAGGTTAGCCAGTAATTGTCTATTATTCTAGTAACCAAAACATATCCATCATACATCTTTTGAAATCAACAGAACAGTGTTTCTAAAATGCTAATTTTTCAGAACAGCTAGTATCTTGATGGGCTGGCTTCCAGGAGCAGGCAGTTTCAATTAAAGTTCTGTCCCGGGACAGGAGAATCAAATAACAGAGTCCTCTAAGCCAAGAATAGGGCTTTGGAATCTTCTTCCTTGCCCTTGAAATCCCAAAATTACCTCAGGGTGTCCTGGTTTGATATTTACTCTGGGAGTTTATTTGACATTTATCTAAATTTCCTCCATTCCGGTTTAAGTAAATCATGATATTTGAAGAAGAACAGTAACAGGACAGCTTGTAAATATCTCCTTAATCCCACAGTCCTGTATAACTGAATGCCCATTTTAGTGAAAGCACTCTGAGGGGTTTAGGTTGATAAACCTGTTTATTTGGGGGGAAATGTAGCACAAATAACTATAGTAAATAACAGGGAAGAGGCCATGTATAGAAAAGAGGGCCGGCAAACTTCTTTCTCTAAAAGACCACATAGTAAATATTTTACACTTTGCAGGCCAAGAGGTAAAGCCAAAAATATTATGTACGTACTAAAATAACACAGAAAATACATTTTCATATATTTGATGAAATTAAAACTTATGGAGTACAATTTATTTTTAATATAGGTGTATTAGAAGAGTTGGGGGAGGGAATAACGTTTTGCTTGATTGGGGATGAAAATAAGCGTTCCTAATATCACATGGATTGCAAATGTTCTTGGCTCATGGGCTATCCAAAAACAGGCAGAGGGAAGGATTTGGCCTATAGGCTACGGTTTGCCAACCCCTGGTATAGGAAGTATGGTTTCAATGTTTAAAGTATTCCTGAGGTTCTGGCTAACATTATAGGGAGAAAAGAGAAAAGGATGTGTAAGGATTGGAAGACCTACGTTAACATGTACTTGCAAATATGACCATACATCTATAAAACCAACAGAATCCATGAAGTATTAGAAGTGATTTTAACTACTTTAAAAATGTCATCAAGTTTGCTAAAGAGATCAACTTAGAAGAATCAACAGTTCTCTATACCAGCAAAAACTCAATGACTAATGGTTAAAAATCCCAGAAAACAAAACAGTGAAAGTATATAGGAATCAACAATCAAGAACACACAAGAAAATTACTAAGGGGTGGGGTGTGTGCCTGGGTGGCTCAGTTGGTTAAGCATCTGACTTTGGCTCAGGTCATGATCTCACAGTTTGGGAGTTTGAGCCCCACAGAGGGCTCTATGCTGTCTGCACAGAGCCTGCTTTGGATCCTCTGTCTCCCTCTCCCTTCCCTGCTCAGTCTTTCTCAAAAATAAATCTTAAAAAAAAATTACTAAGGAAAACATTTGAAAACTCTAAAAAAGGATATTGAAGATGATCTGAATGAATTGACAGACTTGGGGCTCACTTGGTTTTGGCCTGTGAGCCCTGGGTCTGTCTTCTGACCTCCGAAACTTGTGCTGTTTTGAAGCCACTAAATTTGTAGTGATTTGTTACAGCAAAACAAAATCTGGGACCCACTTCTGTCCAGCTGAATGTCAAAGAAGAGTTTCCTCACTGTTTTGCTGCACAGGCAGAGTTTCCTTGCAGATACTTTTAACTCTTGGAAGTAAACATGGCACATATGATCTGAGTAACCTTAATTCACACTTGCCTGCATTTGAAATATTATTCTGTGGTGCTCTTTGCGGATTTATTTCCCTTTAATCAGCTCAATTTGGTTTCAGATCCAAGAATGTATTGATGGGCAGTGACGTGATAGGGTGAAAAGAAACTAATAGAAACAACTAACAATTTAAATATCGTGGTGGAAAATTCCCAGGGGAATTGGCCCTCCAGTTCCTAACCCAAGTGTACCAAGAAGGAATAGCTAGTTCCCAGTGATGGCTGATTCCAGCATAACTTTCACATAATGCCTGATTCCATTTGATATTCCAGAAAGTTTTAAAACAGGTGTGAAAACCCGATGTCTTTCTGTATCTTTTCAGTGAAATAATCTGGGTTGACATCAGCAAGATGGCAGAACAGGCGGTGTGAGCCCTCATCTCATACCTCAACAGAAACACCTATTTTAGCAACCACTCCTGGAGGAGAATACCTTATGTGAAGTGGGAGGTACAGGTTGGAGGTTTCCAGTACCCAGGCGGAGCAAAATAATCCAAGAATAGAGGTAATGAAGAAGGTAAGATGAATAGTTTCACGTCTCCTGTGTCCCCCTTCTCCCAAGGTAGCACAGCTTTGGTATCTCTGGGAGCTTGTTAGAAAGCAGAACCTCAGCAAGGGTCACTGCTTTACTTCAAAGCAAAGCAGTTGTCAGTAGTGGCTGTGAAGCAGAAATCTAGTCTCAGTAGGACCTAACGCTTTGCTGAAACAGGTGGCAAGCCAGCTGGCAAACAAGGGATAAAGGGCCCATCACACCCAAATCTGTTGTTGCAAATGGTCTCAAAGTAGCCACCTTTAAATTTAGAAAAGAAGATGGGGTGGGCAGGGCCTAAGTGCCAATCTAGAAAATCCCAGAGTTTCCAGGCTTAAATCTATTCCCAAATAAGATTTGTGGGAGCTGGTTGTCTGTACACGAGAACTCAAGAGCCGAGTGCAATAGAAACCTACTAAGTTTTTGAAGAATCTTCATCACCAAAAGAAATTGAGATCTGGAAATTTGCCTGTAGCAAAAAAAAAAAAAAAAAAAAAAAAAAAGTGTTAACTTTTCAATCCTCAAAATAATCTCTCCAAACCTTTGCAAGGAGAAAGTGGGTGTGGCTGGGGGGTTACAATGGTCAAGGAAGAACCTCCTAGAGCCAGGGGCCACAGAGGACAGTGAGCATAAGACCATGTTTCCACCACATTCTCTTCCCTTCTTGCGACTCAGCTTAACCACACAGATGAGGACAATGTCCTTGGGTTGGAGAAACAAGACAGAAAGAACTGCTAGCCAACTGGGAATGCTTGCCTCAGATTGTTTATAGGAAAGTGAAATTAATTCTATCTTCATTAAGCCATTACTGGATTATGGTAGGGTCCTCCCCACCCCACCCCCCCTTTTTTTTATAGCAAGCAAGCTAAACTAATGTCTAAAACTGTGATTTTTGTCCTTTCCCACTAAACTGGCTCCTCCAGCTGACTGGAGAAAATGGCAATTCTACCCTTTCAGTGGCTCAGGCCAATCTCCTTCAGTGGATCCTGTGTCCTAGCCCCTTCGGGACACACAGCATTAAACAAGACGCTGCATTGGTGATTAAGCTTGGTGCTTCCCAGAATTCCAGGCAGCACGTGCACGGAGTGGGCCCGGGTTCTAGTCTTAAAAACGTTAATACTCTTCAACCAAAGACCACCAGGAACATACCCAAAGTTGAACAAGCTGGGTTCATGACTGCAGCGAGGAAGAATGCTCCCCATGGGGAACCAGGAGTGTCTCGGTAAGAGTGTTAGGAAGAACCCTACTACAGGGTTTGGAGAAGATCTGGGGAAAGCTCTAGAGTGGGTGCTTCCCCAGGTGCAAGTCTGATTGGTTATCTTAATCTTATCTATAAGGAGCAGAGATGAGCATGAGAATAAAGTAGAATTCACTCACTTCAGCAGAGAGACAGGCATGTTTGTGGATCGCACAATGACCTTGTTTTTATGATCACAGAGTGACCTTCTCTGAGGTGGATGTTTTATGAGATTGTTTACGTTTAGGTCTAGCTGTGAGCATCAGCCAGCTTGTGTTAACACTAAAGCCCAGCTGTAGGAGCCGCTGATTCCAGAGCAGCAGGGGCTGTTTTTTGTTTTTTTCTTCTCAAAAACGGTGGTGTTAGCTCCTTTGCAGGCCACAGGTGGTCAGCTTCTCTCTGTGACCCCACTGGCCATTGTGACACTTGCTCCCAGCTCTGCATGGATGACCCAGGTGCTCTCCCTGGCAGGACTGCTAACATCATTCCTCTCTCCCCTTCCCTTCCCAGAAAGACTGCTGTTTCTGATCTACAGACATCTTCCTTGCCTTCCAGTATTCTTAACGTTTCTTGACTCATTTGCGTAAAACGTCTGGAGTTGGGAGGGTGGGTTTCAGCATGAGCTCAAGCTGCCGTCTTGACCTGGGAACAACAGAGGGTCTTTTTATGCCTCCCTCTTGGCTTAACACGTGGCACTATCCAGCCACCTCCCATCATCAACCATCATTGTGGCCCCCCTTGCATTGACCATTATTGTCAGTAACATCTTAAGCATTCTCAAGGGTAGGTTAGGCCATGGTCTTCTAGGTATCAGCTCTTCTATCCCTTAAGTACTAACATTTAAAAATGAGGGGTCATAGATTTTCTTGAGTTCTGGCATCAGGGAGATGGCTACTCCATGTTGGTAGACTTGTTGAATCACTGTGTTGTACACCTGAAACTAATAACAGCATTGTATGTCAACTCTTCTCCAAGTTAAAAAAACAAAATGAGGGATCTTAGCATGCATGACGGGTTGACTTTCTACAAAGCCCTGTATCGTATTTCAGCCAACCAGACCAAATGCTCAAGTCTGGAGCAGTAAGTCTGAACCTTATTCTTCAGACCTGGAGGCAGAATAAGATGTGGGGAGTGTCACATGCCTATACAGCCCTCCCTAATTAATCCTGTGTCCATAATGACTGAGTCCTCCTTTTTGTATGACCGCTCCCATCCAGGTTTTGCTCAGCCCCAACACCCATGTATAAATTTTACACTGTTGGAAAAGGATTATAAGTGGAAGGAGATCCTTAATTTCCCCAGAGCCTGTAAGCTCCCAAAGAAGATGCTAATAGCACTGTGCCTTCTTGACGCCCTGACTGTACCAAGCACAGATTGCTGAAGGTACGTATTGCTCACACTCCATGGAATCTCACTTATGTTCACAGTAGGTACGAGCAGTGACTGAAGGAGCTTTTCCAAGCGTACAGAAGGACACTGACCATCCGATAGGATGGATGATACAGAGAAGCTGAAATAGGGGGGTGTGTCCTGAAACCTGTCCAGCCTCAGCCGCACTCCATTGAAAAAGAGAATTCTAGGATGGGGCAAATTATAGGAAAGTTGTCTTATCAGGTCACCAAGAAACAAGCAAATCAAAGGACAAGCAGCACTCAAGGGGACAGAAAATGACTGTGGAGGAGGGAGAAACTCAGAGAAGCTAAGGGAGGATTACGGGTGCAGAGCCAAGGAGGTCCCCCCATTTGCTTGCCTTCAGCCCCACTCTCCCATATACACAAACACAAACCCCAGGACTGCAAGGCTAATCATTTATTGATCGGGTAGAGGAAGTTCTTATTCATGGTCCAGTTCTCCTGGGTATGGCAAAGACCAGTGGAAAATTTGGAGAAAATCTTTAATTCTTGGTTGGTTGATGACTTTTCCTAGATGATTAAGGAAGATCCTGAAGATGCAGAGATAATGCTTTCATATGTGATAATGATGGAAATCCCATCACTGCACTGGTCACTAGATGGTGTGGGGAGGAGGAAGGGAGGATCCTGGAGCCCAGGTGAGGAAGCATTCACTCAGCACTAAAGAAGCAGGTGAAAAAGAGAACACAAACTTATTAAGCATTTCTTGGATTGAACTGAAGCAAAAAGGACTTGTTAGACAAATGGTGAAGTAGAAGATGTCAAACTGTATTCTAATTTGTTATTTGCCAGAATAGGGGAGGGAGGGCAATGAATAAATGCCCCCCCTTTTTTTCCTGATCTCAATCTTCCCCCAACTGAATCTATGAAAAAAAGGAAGCAATGAAGGATCCCCAGGCCTGTTTCTGCCATCTTCAGCACTAGAAGTTTTGAAGAATTTTAGAGAAGTTGGGAGATAATGGCAAAGCCACAGCTATCTTTTCTTAAATGGTTACTTTATGCAAGCTGCATTACCTGAATGAAACACCACAATAAATCTAAGATAGGAAACTGATGAGAAAATTCGGTCTATTTTCCAGATTAAAAGACCACTGGAAGTTCAGACAGCTCTATTCCCAGATGAAAAGGATGTACAGAGATCAAAGGAAGAAATGTTTGCTGTAAACTGGAGGGTGAAATGCCTTCTGGGCTTGGAAGACAGACCACAAACCCAGAAATGGATGTGAGTTTCATACTCCTTTCCTATTTCTCTTTTCCATTCCAAATTTTAAGTCCTAATGATTTTTAGCATGTCGTCATGTCCACATGGTAACTCTGTAGGGTTGACATCACTGTTCCCTTTGTAACTGCTTAGGTCTTTTCTTCAAAAGCTCATGGCAGGAATGAGTCCTGATCCTAGTTCCCCTAATTCCACATCTCAAGCTCTCCTCACCAAATTATTTTTATTGTCATCTTTGAACACCAACTCCTAATGCTTTTGGTAGGCACTGATCCCTGGGCCACCCCCTTTCCACCAGAGATCACTAACCTGGAGGCCTGGGCCACTTCGCTCCCTCGGGCCTGGGAACAGCGATCTGTGGAGACAGAACACATACAAACACCGACCTCAGTTTATTTCCCAGAGAGAAACTAAATGATTCTCCAGGTTAAGACAAAGGGGACTAACTGGTGGTATTGCCTTCTCCCCCCCACCGCCCCCTTCAGTAACATGGTAATTTAAGAAGAGAAAACTAGAAAATAACTTCACTTACCAACTTTGGTCAGGTCAATTACATTTTCTTTAACAATCCCATATTCTTGGCAATATTTCACAAACTTTTCCTTGAGTTTTGGACTCACATCTGGTTCTCGGGCTGTGGAAAGAGTGACAGTAACCTTTGTGTCTTACGTATTTGTCACTAAGGCTCATGAGGGAGTGGCTCCAGATGGATGGAAAATGGATGGCACTGATTGGGTGCTTAGGTGGAAGTCTTGGGGATGGGTTATAACCTATTTTGAGTTTTACATCTTTAGGCTATGCTTCTGGTGGGATGACAGAGTTTATCATTTTCCCACCACTGAGCCTGAGAGATCACCAAAGGTGAGCATCTGTCTTCAGAGGAGGAGAGACACTCCAGGGTAAAAATTGGGAAGGCCGCTTTGTCTCCAGGCTTCCCTTCTTCTCCCTCCCCACCCCAAGATGAGTGTCAGCATGAAAATACCCTACCGTAGAGCTCCATCAGTTGGAATGGAGTCGTCTTGTCAAAATTTCTAAGATGAAATATGACATATTTATAGTCCGTTTCATCTATGGTAAATAAATTGTATCCATCATCTGTGGAAGAAACAGAAGCCAGCTCAGACTTGTGCCACCATGTGCCAGCCTCTCAGAAATTGGTAGCTCAGAGCTTGTTAGATCCTGGGAAGCAAGGGGAACCCTGTACTTATTTTCAACCACTAAACAAATTCAAGTGCACATCCTGAAGGATAGATATTACACTCTGTATTACTCTAATGCCTTCATTTATATCTCCCTGGGCTTCATGAGGCAACATCCAAGGGTACTGGTAGTTTAGTAGTAGAAAAATTCAGCCGTAGAGGCAACTTGTGCTCTATCCTCCTCCCTGAGATTCACCTACCTCCCTTGACCATCTCCACCAACTGTGTGTGTCTATCCTCTCTATAATCTCTACTGGCATTACATACCCAATGCTATACCCTGAGCAATGTGCTGTAGCAATGAGCACCAGACAGTAGGCGGGGGGAATGGGAAGCTATCCCACCACTGATTTCTTTGCCAATTTTCTTTTCCTGCTAGAGGTACATACAAGCAAACTTCTTCTGGTATTATGTGCCAGGCATGGGCTTTTTTTTACCCAAGATTTTTCCAGAGTCAGGATTTAGCTACTAGATGGCCTCTCATTATATAAATGTACATAAGCTATTGATCAGGATGGGTCAAGATCCTCAAGATATTGGGGTTTATTAAATTCTTGGAAGTAAATTTGATATACTTACACTCAATACTATATACACCATCCTTTTCTGTTTTGTGAGAAACCAGAGATTGTGTCGTACACTTTCCATTCTCTCTGTAAAACAGAATAAGCTGAGGTCCAAGAGATACTGATGAACCAGCTCCCTCATACTCTGCCTATAATTGGGTTTCTGATTTACTTCACTGTTGAACATTTTTGGGGTACAGTTTCTAAAGAGCTTTTATTTACATTATTTTACTTAATGTGCTACTTTAAGAAGGAGTCAACTACTATTCCTCTCGCTCTGCCATTACTTCCCACTGCTACTATTACTACAACTCCCTATCTAGATAATTAGCTCAGTGCTCACCATGTGCCAGCCTCTCAGATAAGTGTTCTTCAAGCATTACCTCATATGGTCCTTGCCAAAACAAACCTGAGAATTATCCTCTTTACCCAAGGGAAAACTGGGGTGGAAACTGATGAAGTTTCTTGTGCTCCAAACCTATGCTGTACTGTCCCAGCACTTTACGGTTCTGACACCCTCCAACCCTTTCTTCTACTCCTATTTTGTTTCTGTCAGAATTCTTTTCTTTGAATCTACAAAAGGCACAGGCTCCTCAGGTCCTGGATCAGTGTCAGATAATGGATTCCTTCCTATTTTGAATACAAACCCAGAAAGTATGTGTACACCTGCACACGTGTGTATGCATGCACTCATGCACACAGTTCCAACACCATATTCAGACTCCCGTGTTTCCTTTCCCAACTGAAAAAGACCACACTTACTTCATATGAAACTTAAAGAACAGAGAAGAGTTGTCCAGGGCTTCGATGTATTCGATAAAAACCCTCATGCTACCACCTTCTTCTATCTTTTCCTTGGCATCTGAGGCCAAGAGAATGGAATACCAGGCTCCTGAAATCTGCAATAAATCAGTAAAATGGGTAAGAAAAGAGGAGAGGAGACTCCACAGGAATACTTGTCTCCTTGAACTTGGCCTGTGGGCCAGGACTCATAATGGCGATGTGATGATGGAATTAGAACTCAGGTCAACTGGCACTACATCTAGGGCTCTTTCCACCGTCCCTAAAGAGAGAACAGAGGTCCCCAAGTGTTATCTTTTAACATGATACAATTGCTCTTAGTCGAAGGTCTGAAACCACCCCTTTTGTCTAATCCGTCAAGAACTCCTGCCCTCTGGTACGGCCACGTTACTTCAGAATCCTCCAAACCACCCCACAAGGTCAGAAGCTACTCTACTAGCTCTACCTTTGAAAGATCGATGTTGCTTCTCACAACGTTTTCCTCCTCGTGGGCGCAAACTAGAATCAGCCCCAGACACAGCAACAGCAGCTTCATCTTGGCGGCAGGTCGTACTGACTTCCCTACAGTCACCTCTCCCTGATGATGGCTCCACTCCCCAGCTCCTCTGCCTTTATATCTGTTCTGGGGCCAGGTTTTTGTCCGTGGGACACTACGTTCCCTGCTCCCACTCCATGACGTGGCCTGTCATTTACTGGTATGAGGTCAAAGATTGTTCTTGCCCTTTTGAAACTTGGCAATCTCCTCTCTTTTAGATCTACTTAGTGACCTTAAATTTCTCAAAACACATACACAAGAAAAATAGTGGAGGGGTGCCTGGATGGCTCAGTCGGTTAAGCGTCCGATTTCGGCTCAGGTCATGATATCGTGGTTTGTGGGTTCAAGCCCCGCATCGGGCTCTGTGCTGACAGGGAGCTCAGAGCCTGGAGCCTGTTTCAGATTCAGTGTCTTCCTCTCTCTCTGACCCTCCCCTGATCATGCTGTCTCTCTCCCTCTCTCTCTCAGAAATAAATAAAACATTAAAAAACATGGAAAAAATAGCTGCCTTTTGGAACCAGAATTAACTGGATCTGGCTTGGAATCAGAGAGCCAATTATGTGAGGCAGGAATGGAATAAAACTTGGGAATCTATGTTCCATGGTTCACATGGTGTGCAGAATTGGGTGCATCACTTCAATTTTACTAATTTCAGAAGCAAAGACACTGTGTCCACCAGAGATTATCATACCTTCCACAAAGCATTAAGAGAGTTGCTCAATTTTAAGTTTGAATAAAATAATGAAGTATGGTTTCTATTATTCAGTATATTTCTCTTTTCCTTATTCTCTGAACTCAACCACTATGGTTTTTTTTTTTCTTTCCCCACAATGAATGGGCAAGTGTCTAATCACTGTGTATACCTCACCATACCACAGGCCCCCATAAGAGAAATGGAGAAGTACAAAGTATCATCCCTTGCTTCAAGTAACTATCAATGGAGTTGTGGAAAATCTTCATATAATCAATGAAAACTTGATATTACAAGCATAAATAACCCAACTGAGTGGGATTAAGTCCATACCACTGTAGGTCAGAAAAGAAATGACACAAGGGAGGTGGTATCACGTAGAAAGGGCTTAAGAACATGGATTTGGGGGCACCTGGGCAGCTCAGTTGGTTAAGCATCTGACTTGATTTTGACTCAGGTCATGATCTCACAGTTTGTGAGTTCTGGCTCTGTGCTAACTAACTTTGTGGAGCCTACTTGGGATTCTCTCTCCCTCTCCCTCAAAATAAATGAACATTTAGGGGTGCCTGGGTGGCTTAGTCGGTTGAGCGTCCGACTTTCGCTTAGGTCATGATCTCGCGGTTCGCGGGTTTGAGCCCCGCATCGGGCTCTGTGCTGACTGCCAGCTCAGAGCCTGGAGCCTGTTTCAGTCTGTGATCCCCTCTCTCTCTGACCCTCCCCTGCACACACGGTCTCTCTCTCTCTCCTAGAAATAAATAAAAACATTAAAAAAAAAAATGAACATTTAAAAAAAGAGCATGGCTTTGATGAACAAATTGGAAGGTAACATTATTCTATTTCAAGATTTTTAAAATGAAGCTATCATAATACAGTGTTGTATTAGCATGCTCAACACATATATGAATGACTGATTTTTGACAAAGGATGTGATATTTTCAACAAATGATGCTGGAACAATTGGCTGTCCATGCAATGGATGAATTTCAATCCTCACGTTGTATACAAAAATTGTCAAATATCAATATGGATCATAGACACAAATTGAAAATCTAAAGCTACAAAACTTTTTTAATGTTTATTTTTGAGAGAAAGCACAGTCAGGGAAGGGGCAGAGAGAGAGAGAGGGAGACACAAAATCTGAAGCAGGCTCCAGGCTCTGAGCCATCACCACAGAACCTGACATAGGGCTCGAACTCATGAACCATGAGATTGTGACCTGAGCTGAAGTTGGACACTTAACTGACTGAGCCACCCAGGCACCCCTACAAAACTTTTCAAAGAAAACAGAGGAGAAAACCTCTGTGGCCCTGCATTAGGCAAATATTTCCTAGATACAATGAGGAACACCAAAAACATGAGTCCTAAAACAACCATTTGGTAAATTGAATATCATAAATAGTTCTGTTTAAAAGTCATAAAAGAATGAAAGACAAGCTACAGACTGGGAGAAAATACTGTCGAAAAAATAAAATACATATATACACACACATATATACACATACACATATATATATATAAACAGAGAAGCCAATAGTAATGAAAATGAGGAATAAAAGGAGAAAAATAAAACAATTTGATTCAATTAAAGACTGATCACTCAGAATGAAAAAGAAGACATCGTATATCATACAATGGAGTATTACTCGGCAATCAAAAAGAATGAAATCTTGCCATTTGCAACTACCGTGGATGGAACTAGAGGGTATTATGCTAAGTAAAATTAGAGAAAGACAAATATCAGATATCTTCATTCATATGAGGACTTTAATACAAAGCAGATGAACATAAGGGGAGCAAAAACAATATAAAAACACAGAGAGGGACAAAACATAAGAGACTCCTAAACATGGAGAACAGACAGAAGGGCTGTGGGAGGGGGATGGGCTAAATGGGTAAGGGGCATTAAGGAACCTACTCCTGAAATCATTGTTGCGCCATATGCTACGCTAACTAAATTTTTAAAAATAAGTTAAAAAAAGACTGATCACTTAATTCCAGGTACAGAGTCAGAATTTTTCCTTCCAGATGAGTAAAGCTTCACCTAAGGTACACAAGTTTCAGCAGACTTCAGCCCTCCCCCAGTCCAGTGAAGAGGGGAAGACAGGGTCTCTGGGAAGTAAAGGTTTCATGGGGAAAGGGGTGAAAATGGACTTGGTCTGCTAGCCAATGGGCCCCCGGAAGTGGACTCCTTCCTCTCTGCTAGTGGACGAGCAGCACTTCGGCTGGGCCGCTCTCAGAACAACAGCAACGAATGGGCTACCTGCACCCCCTGGCCTCTGCCGCTGTGCTTGGGAGCAACCTTCGTGCCTTCTCTTCTATGGGAACGGCTGAGCACGGTCCTCATCCTTGATAAGGGTAGGCAGTCATTCCAGGCCTGAACTGCCTGGGCCCCAAATAGCTACCCAACTCTTAAGACCAGAGAGCTAACATGCAATCATACAGCCACATTTCAAACACGACATCCGGATCCAAACTGCTATATTACAGTCAAGCTGCATCGGCAACTGTTATAGTCAAGGCTTTTAGACTTCATCAACCTTAGGAACAATTTGGTAATCAAAGAAAGAAGGCCTTGTTCAAAGTCTCTTTTCAAAGTTCAAGGATTGGACTGTTACCAAGGCAAACGGTTATAATGAGGATGCAGCAGTACAAGGATCATCTGTCCAAGGGCCTGATATGTAAACATAACATTTTAATGTCAGAAATAGAGTCAGAACCCTGTACTAGGTAAGTGCTTTACAAATAGTCTTTTATATAATCCTCGTAATACCGAGACATGATAGCCTATTTTACAGAGGTATGAACTAAGACTTAGAGAGGTTAAGTAAACCGACAAAGGTCACACAGCCAGTCTGTGGGAGAACCCATATTGGATCCCAAGACTGACCCCAGAGCCCCTACTCTTATGTCTTCACTGCACAGGTCAAAGCTTAATGTTGCTGATGTGAAAGACCAGTGGAACAGGAAACAGTAGTGCTTTAGACCCTCAGAGACGTCTGCTTTGTAGTTACTAGTGACCGAAGGAGCTGTGCTCAGATTCCTCAAAAATACGTTCTGTGGGTGTAGCTGCCAAGAGCCTGATCAAGTGAACGGCAAGTAATGACCCTTTTTAGTAAGTATTTGAAAGATGAATGGGTGGATGGATGATTTGGAGACACTGTTCTTCTCATAAGGAATTAGGAGATACTTCCGTACCAAAAAAGCAAAAACTATTCCTTTCCATTCACGGCTTCAAGTTAAGAAGTTAACTTGGCCACTAACCGCATTAAGACTTCCTCACTCAACACCAAATATAGGACATTTTATAAGTGACTCAAGGGAAGAGTGACAGTCTGCCAGATGGTTGAAAAATGATTGGCCTACAAGCCCCCAAATGACTGGGGCTTATGGAATCCACATATGAATAGATAACAGTCCATTTATAGCCCGGCAACTTGATTCAAGCTAACTGGCTGGCTGGAAATGGACTTGGTGACCTTATCTTCAGTCGCACTGTTGATTAATTGAACAAATCACTCATTGAGAAAGCCAGTGGGAACATTCAAGCCATAACATCAAGACATTGCCAGCACCAAGAAGAATAGGAAGAAACAAAAGTTAATTATTTAATTTATGTGCCAGAGTTGGAAGTATTTCTTGCTCCCTAGCATCCATTCTGCTGGTACCAGCTCAAATTCAGTTCTAAAATATCCACTCCCTTCACCAATGAAAGGTTATCTGGAGCTAACAACAATCCATCTGTGTTTGCTGGGTCCTCAAAAAAGCAGATGCTGAGACAGACTTAGTGGTAGAAAAGGCTTATCAGGGAGTCACATTTGTGAAAGGAACAGGGAAGCGGCAGGGTTACGGAAGGGTTAGGAAAAGATGACACA